AGGGGCTGCGGGAGGCCATTTTGGGGGCCACCCGAGACCGCCCCCCGCCCCGGCCCGGGGAGCCGTCCGCGAGAGCATCCTCTGGCCTCAGCCAGAGCATAGCCCCCCGCCCCCAGCGTTCTCCACCGACATCTCTGTCCGCGTCCCTTTCTGCCCTTCACCTACCTCCGCACGAACCAGATCACTGTTCCGTCACTTCTGCAGAAAAGATCTGTCTCCCCGGCGCCCCGACGCCAGAGCCTCCTCCACCTCGGCTCCTTTTTCCCCAACCTGAGCCAGAACCCCAATGTAGGGTTCTCTTCCGCATCCCCTGGCCTCCACAAATCATTTTCCAGCCTGGTACCTTTTTCGCCGTAGTAGTTATCACCTCCCAAGTTATGTAATTTAACCCTAAAAATCACATTCGTTTGTCTCTCTTTCGTTGCTTTATCCCGAACGCCTGCAGACAGAGTGGGGATAGGGGAGGAAATTTGCTTTGAAAAGGGGATGTAAATGTACATTGAGTAGGAATAACCCTCACTCTAAATGGAAGGGTAATCAACCCCAGATTGTAAACCCACATTTTTTTTTTTTTTTTGGAAACCCACTTTTTAAAAAGTGGGGAAGTTGATCCCAGTCCCCAGAAGCGTAATAAGGTCAAGAGTGTCCACATTACAGGTACTCCACTAATCTACTACCTGTGGTCAAACAGCATGGCTGTTACAGCTGGCTTCCTAGGCTGTAACCGTTGAATGTAAAAAAGAGATCAATTTAGCTTGTGTCTCTAGACTGTAGATATTGCTCTCATTTATTCAACAAATATCTACTGTGTAGCTATTTAGGGGTGAAGAGGAACCTTCAATTCAGCTGACAGTCGAGTTTGTTCCCAGGAGCTAGTTCCTTACCCTCCCCCCACCCTTTAGAGGCTGGGTGTGGGCCTGGAGGGAAAAGTCCACCCATTAGTTCCTTAGCCAGGATGCAAAGTCTCTGCATTCCAAGGAAGCGTTTATGTAAGGATCAGAGTCATCAAACCGGCCCGTGCCCTGGGGAGGGACAGGAAAAAGGTGTGGGGGTGGGGATCTGAAGATGAAGTGTCCCTCCAGGACTGCCTTATCTCCAGTCCATGGGGGTGGGGTTTTTAAAGAAGTGTTTGGGAGTTTTTTTCAGGGAAACGTGAGATTGTTGAATTGACCCAGATATTGGAAAATTGGAAACGCCTAAACTCTCCTGGGTAACACCTTAATAATTAGGCTACTTAGTGTATTTGCAGTTAATACAAAATAAGGGTGGTAAAGGAGACACCCCATGGTAAATCACTTGGGACAGACTACAAGGCAAAACCCAGGAGGCCTCTGAGTCACCCTCTTGTCATCTGTTCCTTAAGGAAGCACTCAGTCTCAGAAGGACACCAACCAGGTGTAGGTGGCAAAGGTGACACCAGGGTCTTTTCCAGGGTTCGTGGTCCATCTACTTAAGAAATGTTACAATTTGGCAAAATGGAACAGTTCATAAACATGGCACACGTAGAAAATTAGAACAAATATAATACCCAGGAAGAAGAAATAAATAATATGGATATATATATATATTCAAGAGGGTGATTTTACCTTTCATAGTGTAAAGAAAAAGTGTAAAAGTGTAAAGAAATAGTGTAAAAGAAAAAGTTCTGGACAAATTGGAAGTTTCCTCAAAGAAGTGAATTTGGAGTCAAATTCCTGTCCCACAAGTCTTTCCTCAGTTCTTACCTGAGTTCTTCAAGACTGTCACCAGGACCAGTAACTACTCTAGTGAAATTGTTAGCCCAAAGATCACCTGTTACTCCTTGGCCAATTTCCTAAATGGAGTAGCAGGAAAGCCTACGCAGGGAGGTTAATTAAAGATAAACGACAGAAGGGCAGTGATGCCATTGGCTGAAATTGAAAGGACAGGAGACGGAAGGGTTCGATGAGGACCTAGGGAAGGAAGAATAAAAGAAACGGACTTTGGAACTGGCCATATTGGAGAAGTAGGTGGGACAAACACACACAAACGCAATCTAGCGAACGAACAACTGGAAACGAAGCTTAGAAGAGAATTGAGGGGTACAGACAGATCTAAGAATTTTCCTCACAGATGTGAAAGTTTTCAAAGAGGACCAAAGAGAAAGCCTTGAGAAATATGAAACAGATGGAAGGGAGAACAAAGGAATGAGACATTCAGAGAGAGAGGTGGAAACAGAGATGTTCTCGTACGAGCAGAGACTGGAATTGGGCACTGAGAAGTTACGGTTGATCTTCCAGGTGTCAGTTTCAGCAGCGTGGTAGACCCTCGGCTCAGACAGCAGTAACAGAAGTGTATCGAGAAGGGAGAAGGAGACAGGCTACCTTGACTTAAGACAAACAGGGTGAGAGAGAAGGGACGCTTTATGTTTGTTTTGTTTTGCTTTTGGGAAGGAGAAGACTTGGTTATACGTTGAGAAGAAGCCAGAAGAGTGCGCGACAGTGACGTAAAAAACAGAGAGAGGGAACAGTCAAAGCCCGGACCAGTAGGAAAATGTGAAGTCTGCGTTCTAGAACTTACACAGGGAGACCAGGTATGAAGGAAAGGGAGAATCCGGGACAGATTACGCGAGGCCTCGAATATCAGGATCGGGACTGTGGGCTTTATTGGTGGGTGATGCGGAGCCATTGGAGGTTTTTGAGCAAGAAGGCGGCAGTATGTCAGAAGGTTCGTCTGGGTCGGTGTGACAAACGCAATGGCAAGGTGAGGTAAGCCCTACAGAGAGAGTGGTGGCAAAGGGAAGGAAAAGAAAGAGACCACTCGCCCCATAGCCTTTCAGTACATTACTCATCTTTTCTTCCTCAAGCTTTGTTTACGAACACTCCGCTGTTCAACAGCAATAACAATAGGTAATTATACTCTTGCTTGGGGTTTTTCCTGGTTAACTAAAATTTCTATTATGGGTGTCATTAGGGAAGATAAGGCAGAGCCACAGAGATGCTATGAGTGGATGTCACCAATTCAGAGCACTGAGTCAGGAGTCCAGACACCGATGTTCTAATTTTATTTCTGGGAAAGCTGTAATTCTAACCAGATCTAAAATCCTTGGGGTTCTGTTTCCTCTGAGAAATTAAGAAGATGATCCCAGATTCCATAATTATATTGTTTCCTTTGGGCTCCTTGGTGGAAGAGTCAAGTTCTGTCTTCCAGCTCCAACTTTTATCATCCACTGGGAACATAAGTGTAGCCATATCTGGTACATAGCTCGGTGACTGTTTGGGACAAAGAATTCCAAGCGACCTTTTCAGCCTAATCAGCCCCTCCCTGGCAAGGGGAAGACTCACCCCAAAGCTCCTCGAGCTTCCCTACCACCCCAACCTCTTTATTATCCCAGCTGCCCCACCTCCAATGCTCTGAGCAACTAGATTCCAGTGTGTTCCAAGTCTCCAGCATACATTCCAAGTACAGGTATCATTCAAAAGAAAAAAAGAGCAAGAAGGATATATACGTCTAATTCCAATGGAAATTAAAAGAACAGATTCCTTCTCCATGTCTTTTTTCCTGAGTTGTTAAAACGCCATTCTCAGGAGAGAGCTTTTCCTCCACACACCCCAACGACAGCTGATTCCGCCACCTCCCACCTCGCTTTCCTTTCCTCTTTGGAGAAAGAGGCAGAAGCTTGGCAGCTTAAACCTACATGTTTGTCCCCAAAGCCCCCACAGGCCACTGTGACAGTCTCAGCAGAGTCCCACTTATTATCTGATTTTCTCGGGTTTTTTATCTGATTTTTTTTTTTTTTAACTGTATGTCTCAAATACAGAGGTAAGATGACATATGGACATAGCACTGGACTTGAAGACAAAATACCTGATATGGTAGCCATGGAGATGTGCAGCTCTGACTTCTCTTTAAGAAAGAATCTGCCATTCAACTGCTTCGGTGCAGTCAGCTAGCGGCCTCCAGCTACATCACCTCTGGGATCCTTTCCAGGGTCAGCGCTAAGGCTCCACCCTCCCGGAGGGGGCCCTGCCCAATGACCAGGCACAGGACAGGTATTAGGGTCTGGCCATTCCTGCCCACGGTTTGACTCCTCTCTAGGACACTCTGCTCTGGAGTGTTCCGTGGGGTTGACCGCAACTCAAAAGGATCTGCATCGTGGCTCGAGGTTCTCCTCGTCCACTTTTGTTTCTGTCCTTTCCTTTCACAGGTATCAAACCTGCATCACCGTCGGAAGGCCTGCCCTACCCCTTCCTGCTTCCTGCGCCTCTAAATTTCGCAGGCGTCACCACCCAATAAAACTCTTGCAACTCCTCGTTTGGTCTCAGCATCTGCTTCCCAGGCCACCTGAAGGGACGTGGTTGTTTCTGGGAGAGGTCTGAAAAAGCAGGCAGGCAGACTGGGCTTGAGAGCTGCGTTCCTCACAACCTCGCTGGGAACCCCTCCTGGGTGGTATGTGGGGGACGAGTAGTCTCTGGGACAAGATGGGGGCCCAATTGCTAAAACCGTCACTGATGGTGAAGTGGGACAATGTCCCTATGGTGCAACAAGTCAGGCGTGTGGGGTAGGCAAGGGGGCAGCAGAGAATGCGGGACACTGGCGTTGGCTGGCTGCTACTAAGTTGCATTGAGCCCTGCCAAGAGATAATGAAAAGCTGAGAGGAGTTACCAAACATTGCAAATCAACTGTGAAAGCCCGAGAGCCTCTTCCAGGGGTTACAAAGAGGCCCTTATCCACAGCAGTGGGAGAGCAAATAGAGCTGAAGACCAAACTCAGCCTTCACAGAGTTCAAAGGGGCAGATCTGTAATCAA